GAATAAGTTAAATTATACATAGGGGCGGGGCTAGAAACCTATCTCGATGTAGTAAATGTGGAGTTGCTACATAGAGTTCATCGAAAAAAAATATATAATATTATACATGAGCGGATTTAGAAACCTAGTAACATTTGCTAAACTAGTGTATTTCTATAGAGAAATTTATTAAATTTGTACAAATATTAAGTTTACAACCAAGTTATTAACATTTTAAAATGTTATAAAATTCAGAATCCATAAAATTAAAATAAAATTGTTATATCTATATATATATATATATATATATATCTTTTAACAATCTTAGTAAAAATTCTAGTTTCGCTATTGTGTTGTGTGTACGGTGCGGTGAAGGGTCAGAACACATTGAGTTTATTGTATGCAGTCTTAGCCTGTATTCATAAGTGGACGCCTATGTAGCATATAATCCATTTTGGGTTCAATCGAATGTAACGTTTGGATGTAGGTCATGTACACGTGTCTGTGTACATGCCGCGTGTGTTTAAACTATCTAAATGTACTAAACTACTACTATATTGTTACTGGCACTGCTACATAAATTTCATCGAAAAAACATATTATATATATGTAAAATTATGTAAAAATATTAAGTTTAGGACCCATTATTAACACTTAAAATCATTGTTATAAAATTTAGAAGTCATTGTCCCCGATTATGCGCATTGGTCAAAAACTACTTTTTTTAGATATATTTATATATATATTCGGTGAAGGGTCGAACCGCGTTGAGTTTATTGTATATAGTCTTAGCATGTATTTATGCAAGTAGATGTGTATGAAGTATATAATCTATGTGGGTTCAATTCAATGTAACGTTTTGATGCGGTTCATATATACATGTGCGCACACGCATGCCGCACGCGTGTGTAGAATATCACTAAAGTATCATTAAGTATTAAATTTTAAACTCATAATTTCAAATGTATAATAGGAAAAATCAGGTAGAGATTTACTTTGTGTTGTTAGTGGCGTAACTATATAGACTTCATCGAAAAGATATATTGTACACACAAGGGCGGGCTAGAAACCCATTTCGCTGTAGTAAGCTCCTATTATGTTGTTAGTGGAGTAACTACATAAACTTCATCTCTAAAAGTTATATTATACATAGGAGCGAAGCTAGAAACCCATCTCGATGTAGTGAACTTCCATTATGTTGTTAGTAGAGTAACTACATAGACTTCATCGAAAAAGTTTTATTAAACATAAGGGTAGAGCTAGAAACATCCTTTATGTTATTAGTGGAGAAACAACATAGACTTCATTGAAAAAGTTATATTATATATAGGGGCGGAGCTAGAAACCCATCTCGATGTAGTAAGCTTCCGTTATGTTGTTAGTGGAGTAGCTACATAGAACGCATCGAAAACATATAATATTATACATGGGCGGAGTTAGAAACCTAGCAACTTTTGCTTAATTAGTGTGTATTTCTATTAAGAAATTTGTTAAATATGTACAAATATTAAGTTTAAAACCAAGTTATTAACATTTAAAATTGTTGTTGTAAAATTAAAACTCTGACTTCGCTGCTGATAATGCATTTTGGGTTCAATCGAATGTAATGTTTTGATGCAGGTCATGTACACGTGTCTCTGTGCATGCCGCGTGTGTCTAAACTATCTCAACGTACTAAACTACTACTATGTTGTTAGTGGCGTAGCTACATAGATTTCATCGAAAACATATAGTATATAGGTCAATAACTACTTTTTATATATATCTATATCTATCTATCTATCTATCTATCTATATATATATATATATATATATATATATATAAAATTTTAATAACGCTAGCAAAATTTTCCTAGCTTTGCTATCGCATCATGTGTAGAGTTCGGTGATGGGTCGACCGCATTGAGTTTATTGTATACAGTCTTAGCATGTATTTATGCAAGTAGATGTGTATGAAATATATAATCTATGGGGGTTCAATTGAATGCAACGTTTTGATGTGGTCGTATATACATGTGCGCACACGGATGTCGCACGTGTGTGTAGAATATCACTAAAATATCAGTAAGTATTAAATTCTGAACTCATAATTTCAAATGTATAATAGGAAAAATCAGGTAGAGATTTACTTTGTGTTGTTAGTGGCGTAACTATATAGACTTCATCGAAAAGATATATTGTACACAGGGGCGGAGCTAGAAACCCGTCTCGCTGTAGTAAGCTCCTGTTATGTTGTTAGTGGAGTAACTACAAAGACTTCATCTCTAAAAGTTATATTATTCATATGGGTGGAGCTAGAAACCCATTTCGATGAAGTGAACTTCCGTTATGTTTTTAGCAGAGTAACTACATAGACTTCATCAAAAAGTTATATTATACATAAGGGCAGAGCTAGAAACATATCCCAATGTAGTAAGCTTCCGTTATGTTATTGGTGGAGTAACTACATAGATTTCATCGAAAAAGTTATATATATATAGGGGCGGAGCTAGAAATCCATCTCGATGTAGTAAGCTTCCGTTATCTTGTTAGTGGAGTAGCTACATAGAGCTCATCAAAAACATGTAATATTATACATGGGCGGAGTTAGAAAACTAGCAACTTTTGCTAAACTAGTGTGTATTTCTATTAAGAAATTTATTTAAATAGAAATTTATTTAAATATGTACAAATATTAAGTTCAAAACCAAGTTATTAACATATGAAATTGTCGTTATAAAATTTAGAATCCATACAAACTACTTTGGTATATATATATATATATATGTATGTATGTATTAAATTTTAGAACAATCTTGGTAAAAATCCTACTTTGGTATATATATATACACACACACACACACACACAATAATCTTTGAGTTTATTGTATGCAATCTTATCCTGCATTCATATTAGTGGACACGTATGTAGCATATAATCCATTTTGGGTTCAATCGAATATAACGTTTTGATGTGGGTACAAAATCACTAAAATTTCAACAAATATTAAACTTTGAACTTCATAATATAATTAATTGAGCTTTGTTTTTTATCCTATATATTTTCCTGGAGGGTGGAAATATATTCTTATATCAATGAACATTTTAGTACAGCTGCGAAAGCGTGTTTGAAGGTGAGTTAATGTTTGAATTTTTTCTGCAGGTGAATGGGTCTCATGCTCCGTTGGTGCTAATTTTACGCCCCATATTATCACCGTTAATACTGGAGAGGTAAACTTGTTAGCTTAAGTATGTGATTTTCATTGGAACTTTGTTAGTTTGGTGCTTCACCCTTTCTCTCATTCAGTAGACGTACTATATGAATTTCATTTTTTCATACGGTACTCAAATTATGTGCAATTCATCGCCTGTTGTTTCACTTGCTAGTACATCTCGAATTCTCAATAATTAATTAGTCATTTTTCCCGGATTAATTTCTCATGGCAAGTGGCAACCATATACATGCATGTTTTAGGGACTATTATATATTGAACTTCATTATCGTTATTTTGGTTTTCCTTTTAGGATGTCACCATGAAGATTATATCATTCTCTCAACAAGGGCCTCGAGCAATATGCATTCTTTCAGCAAACGGTGTAATTTCAAGTGTTACGCTGCGTCAACCAGACTCTTCTGGTGGCACATTGACGTATGAGGTGCTGCAGCTAGCCATTCTTTCATATTATGGTTAATCTTATCATTCCTACTGTTCAATGTCATCTTTACTGCTTCTTCGGAGGTTTAAAAGTGAAAGATCTTCGTTAATTCTCTCCGCCAAGTCAAATTAGACTAGATCATTAAATTCCAGAGATTGTAAAATTTATTATCCTTGTCTTGTTTATGGGGTTAATTTTATACTATGGTTATGTAGAAGCCGTTATCTACTTGACTTTAAGGGGTCGTTTAGTTCGGAAATAAAATTATGCAGGGATTAGAATGCAAGAATTTGTAATACCGGGATTGCACCTTCCTTCCTAATTGGAAATTGATGAAACGTGTTGTCTTTGTGCATGTTTATCTGGTTGACATTTGTGCATAACCTTACCCTTCCGCTGTTCCTTCAGGGCCGGTTTGAGATACTGTCATTGACTGGATCATTTATGCCATCCGAGACGGGAGGAATGAGAAACAGGTCAGGAGGAATGAGTGTTTCTCTAGCAAGCCCTGATGGACGTGTTGTTGGAGGTGGAGTTGCCGGTCTACTAGTTGCTGCTGGTCCGGTCCAGGTATTGTTTCTTCTATGCTTGTTTCCAAAACAGAAAAAAAGTTCAATTTTACCCTGTTTCTCGACTTATCCTCCGTTATATTCTGTGGTAATTCATATATTCGTTAGCAAATCATATCATATTTGCCCTTGACTTGACCGATCTCCAGTATGGACTTGGCAGATTCCACGTGTCAAAGTTCTTCAATAAATTCACCCATTATGATTTAAAATTATCCTCCGTTATACCTGAGGTAGGAGAAACGAGACAATTTGCTAATAGTAAAGATATAAAATAATCTTAAAGTATATCAAATAGAAAAATTAAGATATTTCGTATGGTAGAGGTTCTTTTTCACCGTCGGTGAGCTATAATTAACCTCTTTTTGACAAATATGAAGTGGTAAAGTTCGTGACACTCTAGCCAATTTTAAACCATAGTAAAAAGTTAAAGGGTGAATCTTAACATTTTTCCCGAAATATGTTGACTCGTGGAACCCATCGAGTTCACACTTGAGCTCCGGGCAAATTCAAGACAAATTGCTACCTACATGGTATGATTGGTTCCAAAGTATACGGACAACAACAACGAAGTATACGAACAACAACATATACAGTGTAATCACACATTGGTTCCATAGTATAACATGGATATTCCGTATGGTCGAGGGGTAGATTTGGACCTTTAACGGGAGAAAAACGAAATACTTTGATGATGCTTCAGCCAAATTAACATTTTAATTTTTTTCTTTTGTTGTGACTTAGATTGTTGTTGGGAGCTTCCTTGCTGGAAATCAACATGAACAAAAGACCAAGAAAAACAAATTGGAGCCTATTACAGCTGCTGTTGTTCCTATTACTAGTCCAAATATTGAAGAACCATGTAATCACTCTTCAGCAAAACCTACTATGCCCGCTTCCTCGATTAACTGGTCATCATCGTTGGCAACTGAGTCGAGAAGTAAGACAGCTGACATCAACGTAACGTTGCCTGCATAGGAGGGTAAAATCTTTCCGTTCTTATTTGATCCTTGATCCTCACATCCATTTGTTGTTATAACTTCTTTGTCAACCTCGTGTCCTCGAGCATGTCATTTTCCAGTTGAGGTATGCTGTATGCCTAGTAATCCGAACTAGTTTTCGTTGTAGTTTTTTTCTTTCTCCTCTGTCGTTCGCTCGTTGTAGGATTTTTAGTTGTATAATTGGTGTCAGAAATGAACTTATCTTAAGTTAAAGGCTTTATGTTTAGTTTTAGCCAAGGTAAATTGTTCATCTCTCTTCATGAAGTATGCGAAACTAATATAATTGCTCGCACGAAAAGCAATCCGCGTATGATCAATTGATATATTTTCTGCTACTCGTGGCTCTATGTCTCTTCTCAGTTGAAGAGACGATGTTGATTCATAGTGTGATGGGTGGTCTGTATATCGCTTCAAGTCCATTCACATATACATTAATAGTATCGGGAGATATGTATGAATTTTTGTAAGCGGTATCACATTTAAATATCAATATATAGTAGATAAAATATTGTAAAAATAAGATTTAGCCCAAGTCTAATATTATTGCTCATTTCTATGAATTTTTGTTTTTTTATAATGTGTTAAAATAATCTCACTAAAAATAATATTTCACTTTTTTTAAATGAAACGGATGGAGCGTATATATATCTATTAATTATTATCCAATTTGCTTATAGAGCTTCAAAGATATAAGACCTATGAATTTAAAGTCTTTGAAGTACATGTAATGAAGATGGATTAAAAGAGGAAGATAAATCAAAACCTCGGGAGATTCAACTATTTTCTCCGGCTTTAATAGAAGAATATGTTCAAATCAAGCCGAATTATATCTTATCTTTATAATATTTTATGGACGATTGGTAATGATAAATTTCTCCATTTGGATGGGGCTTATGGGACTTATAATTTTGAAGAAAGAGAAGTTGAAATCTATCTATCATAATTGTCACTTTGTCATATTCCTACACCTACTTACTATCACAAATAATGTGATTGCTAATTTTTTTGATTTTATTATTTTTACTATATTATCTACTAATTTATTTATTTTAAATAAATAAATGAATTATAATTCACATTCCGAAGTTTATTTTCATGCCTTTGCTATTGCAACAATATAGTGTGAGATACGAATTTACTAATTTTCAAGATAGATTTTAAGCCAAAACTAAGAAAAGAGTCTTATGTTAATTTTCTTTCATATATTTTATTTTCATAAATTCTAAAAATATATTATACTTCATATAATTCAATAATAATAATTTTTTATTTTAGAATTGATAGTATAACATTTCTCATAATATTTTATACGACACGATTAAACATATATAAATGATTGTATGTTATCTAACAACATAAATATTTAAATCCCTCTTATGGATTATAATTTTGAAAACTTTTTTCAAAAGAGTCAATTGTTATACAAACTATACAAAATATTCTAAAAGTGTTTTAAAATAAAATTAAGACTTCACTTGATTATAAATATATATATATATATATAAGATATTTCGTATTACTTTTAAATTACAAAAATTATGTGATTGCTACCTTTAGAAGATATTCAAAATTAAGAATTAAGAAAAAAAACTAAAATTAATTATTTGATAATGTAATTTGTTTGAGTTCGAGATATTTAATAAAACATTTCAAAGAATTGGAAACAATCTATAAAGATAATATTAAAACACGGTTAATTCAAATTAAAGTGAATAAGACAAATTAAGTTGACAGACATAAATATAAATGTGAGACCAAGTTAAGATTTAGACAGGTTGATGCAAATCGGAGTGAAGTAGAATACTTATACAAAGTTTAAAATGTAATACATGAGTCCTATGTAACATAATAAATGCAGGACACCAAGTAGGAGACAAATTGCAATTTAGGATGCAATGTATGATGTCTGACGTGTGTTTATTTGTTTTATTTTATACAAGTTAAATGTTTATTTGTGTAGGGGCGTATCTAGAGGGAGTATCGTGAGTTAACATGAACTCATGCTCCCCTCTCTAGATCATATATATTAGTGTTATAGTTCTTAAACAAATATTTAAATATAGATGTATAAATCAACCGTCAAAGTATCATATAATAATACGATGATGATTGAGTGCATCTCTCTAAATGAAGATGATTCAAATCTTATATTTATCTTGTCTTTGTTACACACCTCCAAGTGGTTATATGTGAAACTTTTGTCATTTCAAATCTTTCAAAATTTCAAGTGTGTTATATTGAAAATTCATGAAAAAAATTAGCATTGTAATTTTTTTATATATAATTAAACCAAATGGTGTATATTAAAATTTAAAACTAGTAGTATTATATACTTTGGATCTAAAATTTTTAAAATCTAATGGTTCATATTAAGAAGCCAAAAGTCAAACCAGTCAAATTCAATATTTAAAATGTATTTTTTCGTAATCGTGCATCTATCTTGTCGAAATCATAGATATGTCTCTGTTAATTTACGCATACATCCAAAGTTGAAGGATATAAATGTGAAATAAAACATACTCCTTCATCTAACAATAATTGTTTACTTTACTATTTTGAGATAATACTTGTCCACTTTTTGAAATCAATGGATAATTTTATACTTAGTTCCTAATTTATCGTTTTCATTAATTATAATTATTTTATTAAATTTTTCAAGACATTGTATTTATTACTCCATCCGTCACATTTTTACTTTGCAATTGCATTAAGAAATAATATAACTTTACCCTTCTACCCTTATTTAATTTTTTCGAAACTCAAAATTTTCAATCAATGAATATGCATTAATTTATTTTAATTAATTAATTTAATCAATAAACGTGAATTTTACTTAGTTTTTCTAAGTTGATCAAATTTATATTTTTAAGGATAATAACTTACAAGCGATAAAAACAAAAGAATATGATAATTTATGGATTTATTATATATAACGACAAATATTATGAAACAGGTAATATAGTAAAATTTCTCTTCTAATAATTTTTAAAAAGTGTGCAAAATATAAATACTGTTGGATAAATATTATTTATGAATAATGTAATACTTAATAAAGATTAATAACAAATAATTTTTTTAATTAACATTAACAACAATAAGTACTTTTTAAAAAAAAATTCTAGTTAGGGTATTTTGTTTCTATACAAGTGTGCTATTGCTTAATATTTTACATTCGCCTTCATCCAATTTTTTTTTAGGTATGTATCTCGTTCATCTTCTCTACTCAGTGATTTCCGTTGTTCCATTAATGTTGCCTTTTGCTCCAATTTCTTACTGTTTTGTGATTTTATATATGTTTTCGTATTTGAGGGAACTGAATTTTGAGTAGTTTTTTTTTTTTTTTGGTTTTATGGAGGATTTGAAATTTTGAAACCCTGATTGTATTGAGCCTCTTGCTTATATACTTGCATTATGTTGTAGAGGAGGAAGAACAAGTCTCTACCTTTTTTTTTAAAGTAGGGTTAAGGTTTGCGTACACACTTTTCGATTACAATGGGTTTGTTGTTGCTCTTCCTGTAAAAATTGAGAAATTTGCTTATTGATATAAAAATGTGTACTTGGAATTGGGTATAATTTGTTGGTAACAATGGTTATTTGTAGTATTTTGTGAAAGAAATTTTCTTATTTGAAAATTTACACAAATAATTAAATGTTGGAAGCTGACCTCGAATGCTTCTTTTTCGATGAAGCAGTATTGTATTTGAGTTTCCACACTTGGGATAAAAGTATATCATTTAACTCTAGTCCTTTTGCCAAGATTATGAACTGTTATAACGAGCGCGACTGATTGCGTATGATTTCATTCACTTACAGAGATGGTAGGGTTATCTGTTGGAGAAAGGAACTTTATTAAGGGTGGTATTGCCCAGGATCTGCGTAATGATGGTAGAAAACGGCTAACTTATCGGCCAATTTATGTGGAAACAGGTGTTATTCCTCAGGTACTTCCGCCCTCAAGTTTTTCTCTTTTTGCTACAATTCAAGCTAAATATTAAACTTTATTTTGCTTCTTACTAGGCAAATGGATCTGCGAAAGTCAAGTTGGGTGCAACTGATGTTATTGCCAGTGTCAAGGTACTGTTATGATCTAGGCGTTGAAACACGTTTCTGCTTTTTATTATAGATTTAATGATGTTTTACATGATTTTCTTTAATAATCGCTGTGCAATTTTGTCGTGGAAGTTGTATTCATTTGGCCTATTGAATTCTTATTGCAGGCGGAACTTGGAAAACCAAGTTTGTCTCATCCTGATCAAGGAAAGGTTTTTATTTACGTAGAGTGCAGTCCTACAGCAGAGCCATCATTTGAGGTGTGTACATGGATTCATTTTACTTCCGAGTTTTTCTTTTATCTGTTTCATAGTTTTGTTAGAAAATTTTGTGCAAATACCAATTTAAGTCTTCATTTTCTATATCTTGCAATAACCTTTCTTATACCGAACATAAAGTCGTACTATATATCTCTTCTTATGACATACCTCTGTTAGTGTTTTATCAGTTATCAGTTTTGTTTATGTTGATTCATGCAGGGCAGAGGGGGTGAGGAATTGTCCACAGAGCTCTCGACTGCACTTGAGCGGAGTCTCTTGGGCGGTAAAAGTGGAGCAGGTATTGGAAAGGAAAATCCACACTTCTGTCTTACTAAATCCACGTTTCTGCTACTGGGAATGTTTCCAGCTATTGATGTAAATGTTGCACTTATGCATCTCTCGAGTTGATAATCTTGTGATGTGTTTCATTTTTGCAGGGGCTGGAATTGATCCGGCGTCTCTCTTGATCAAAGAGGGAAAAGTATGCTGGGATCTGTATGTCGACTGCCTTGTCATTAGCTCGGACGGAAATCTGCTGGATGCTCTAGGTGCTGCAATCAAGGTACATTCTAACAATGTTCCCTCATCATGTATTAGCAAGAAAAAAAAAGAGGGTGAAACTTGCTTCGATTGTTTTAGAGACGCTTTGATACTCGAGACTGCAACACGAAAGCATTATTCCCCATCTTTTGACTAATCATAAGATGGTACTATAGAAAGTAATCGTATTTAATTGAAACATTTTAAGCAGCAACAACTGATGTTCTTCTAGGCAGCTCTGAGCAATACAGGTATTCCGAGAGTTCAGTTTCGAGAAGCTGCTTCAACAGACGAGCACGCAGATGTGGATGTTAGTGATGAAGAATTTTTGCAATTCGACACCAGTGGAGTACCTGTCATAGTTACTTTGACAAAGGTAACCCCCCCAAACCTTATTAATCAGAATCCATTTTATGCGACTGTTACTTGCATGCACGTTTTACCTTCAACAATTGCAGGTTGGAAGGCACTACATTGTCGATGCAACTTCAGAGGAGGAATCCCTAATGAGCTCAGCTGTTTCTATTTCTGTTAATAGACGCGGACTAATATGTGGATTGACTAAACGAGGAGGTGCAGGGTTGGACCCTAGCGTCATACTTGACATGATATCTGTTGCGAAACATGTAAGTGAGCAGCTAATAAACAAACTTGATTCGGAGATAGAAGCAGCCGAAAGAGCAAATGAAGAGGAACCATGACATAGCTCAAGGATTACCTATATATAGTTGTTCTTGTGATCATTTTGTAAGAGTTTAGATCGAGGGTCGATTGTTTTGTTAATCAATCGTTGATGATTATCTTCACTGTTAAAGTTTTGTTGAATGATGTTGATTCTTGTCTATACTGTTTGTTTGAAAACAATCTTTTGATTTCTCTTAATTCACACAAGCCTCTTCGTTGCATCGTTGCTGCTTTAGTCCTAAAATAATATTGTGAAAGTGGAAAATCCCAAATACTTTTCATTTTTTTTAGAACTCACATAAGTCAAGTAGAAATCTAGATTTTTAATTTATGAAAATTATGGAGTATGAAATAAGAATGATAATTTGTAATAAATAGATTAGAGTAGCTCAAGACATAGTTTGTTAATCATTACATATAATTTTCGAGTTGCTATTAAGAACAATTCCTGCATTACTACTCCGCGCACAAAAGACCATAAAATAAAATCAATTGAGTTACATAGTCATGTCTCCTACGTGACCGAAACATGCACCCCACAAGGTGAAAATTCACAAAATTGACAACATTTCCACTTATATTATCACTTCCGATACTGACAGGGACAATTACCATGTTATTAACCGATCAAAGCCTTAATACAACCTATGGACTCTGAAAAGAAAAAAAACTATTGTTACCCAAAAGTTGTATACACTACAGGGTTAAAGTTAAGCTTCAATGATAAAAACAAGATGAGGAATCTGTTGCCTAATCTATCATTAGTTAACCCTAAAACTTGCAAGAAAAATGAACTAGGAGGAAAAGCCAACTTGTACAAAAAAAATAAAATTGTAGTAGATTTGCCACAGTTGATGGTGATAAAATACTTCGTCGAAAGAGGGAATTTAGAGCTATAAATCCAACTCGTCATCCTCCAAGGCAGAATAAATCACCCTACAGAAAGAAAAAATAAATTTAGTTAGCCACAAGTGTCTAGCTTGAAGTGCTTTAACCTATGTCGCTTGGACTCTGCAAAAATATTGTTGTGGCACTACTCTTGGAGGATCCGACATACACTAGTTAAAATTGTTGAAGAGACTAAGCGACATAGGCTTTGACAATCAGAGAGCTTACACCCAGTAACTTACCAAAATAATGAGATGACGAGAAGAATTATGATGTGAGCAAGTTTGAAAATCCTCTGTTTCTTTTCCCAACTGAGCATATTAAAAATCTCAGTAACATCTATAAGGTGCCGTCTTTGCATGTACCTAAAAAAGCAAGAAGAGTTCAGATGACATTTATGAAATGATCAACTGTATCTGATAAAGTCGGGTGCTATGTTGCTCGCGCTCATAAAAATATCAATGGGTGCGTGTGGATCCTCACACAAGGTAGAGGTAAGGTCTACGTACACCCATTGTGATCCTCCAAAGTAATACAATTTTGGAGGATCCGAAGGCTGAGTCAACATATTTAGAAAGTCCAAGCAACATAGGTTAGTCAGCAAGCACAAGCCGTAACAATTTTGGCAACTAATATACGGACACAAGTAATAAAGTCTTAAACGCCATTATCGAATTATTCAAAAGAAGAATTCCTTCCCCAAAGAAAATCAGCATGATGTAACCTTCTTTTTTTTAATACATTTATCATAGCATAACCAAAAAAAATACAAGCTTTATGTTGATTAATTTTCTACCAAGTACAAGTTCAAGCCAGTGAAGAATCCGCCTAATGTCAATATTTCTATACAAAGTCCTTTCTCAGAAAAAATATGTCTATAGAAGGCAACATTCATAGTTGCAAATGGAAGAACTCTGCATAGATTTCCTTTTATTTTACGAACAGATGCCAAGTTGACTTCATAGATCAAGAGTTTTAAAGCAACACTAAAAACTACTGGGTCTATTAGCACATAGAATACTGCCAATACTTTCATCATTTTTACCTTTCTTTACCCTACTGCAGCATAGTATTTGTTCTTTTGTAATATTTTTCTCCCATTACGAAGGAATCCAGGAAGGGGATGAGAAAGAGGGAATAAAATCAAACCACCACTTGTTGTGTGGAAGACTCCCATCAATACCAGTACATTATAGGCCTTGGTGGTGAGCCATAGTATATAGCCACTTGGTGTTCAAAAACTTCCATTTGCTGTAAACCATCAATAAATGGAGAAAGTTTCAACTAGATGGCAAATAGAAAAGGAAAAGCAATATGTTCTTGTTGGCAGTGGGGGTCCAACAATTTCAAAGTGTTGTAAGACCTTTGTTTTTGACTTGTCTCTCAATCTTAATAATGTAAATTTGCTTCCTCTCTTCCCATTATTTGTTGTTTTTTTACTGCTCTTTTCAGTATGGATTTTTCACTAGCATATTTTTTTTGATACTTGATTATTTATGTGCTTTACATGAGTTGAGGGTTATCTGAAACAACTTCTCTACCTTCTCAAGGTAGGGGTAAAGCTGTGTACACACTACTCTTCTCAGACCTCTCTTCCCATATTCAAAGTCACACCGTCTTCAGGGTCCAGTATTCAAGTACATTGAATATACTAAGACCATACATCAATTCATTTTTACTCAGTTCAAGGCAAAGAAGAGTTTTCTTCAACTCCAATCTAGTCTGAATTTATTTCTCTAATGGATCAACAGTTTGCTCTTAAACTTGACAGATACACATCTTTGGTTTTTATATATGAATTGATTGCATATATATTAAACAATTTCCACCACTTATATTCAACCACCCTAGCTCAAGCAGTCTATCAGCAAGCAAACTGTAAACATTTGTTCCATATAAACTCTGTCAAAGGTAATAAAATCCAATGTAACTTTAATTTAATTCGGTAGAGCCCAAGTTTTCTCAACTCAGTGATCTCCTCTTAAGCATCATTAGCACAGATAAGGCTTCAACATGTCAATCAAAGAGTAAGGATAAGACATGGTTTTTAGTAGTGTATCAAGAGAAATTAAGACTATCGGAGTTCAAGAGTCATCCCAGCATTAGCAAAAGTTTTAATGCAGTACATAGGTTGAGCAATTGAGCTTCCTAGAACTGCAGTAGATATGCTACAGTTGAGCCTGCCCCCAGTGAACACAATCTTGATTAACTTGAGATCGGACAAGCTTGGTATATTATGACCCAGATTTGCTAAAATCAATGCACGGACTAAACATCTTTATCTCAAGGAACTACACAAACATACCCATCTGAGACAGCACGATACAAGTAGATTGCAAGTAGAAAAAGACAGAAAAGTCTATTGAACATAAAATTTACTACTAACTCAACGCCTAAAAAAGTTTTTGTGTAAGCAAAACTGGCAAAGAAACATCTAGATCTGACCTCCAACCCAAGGAATAATTGACAAATGAAGATACACGAAAACCATCAACAATCAGTAAAGGAAACATAGCGTGGTTAGTTTACATTTCATTCGATGCAAAATAATGATAAAAAGCACTTTATGATCTAAATCATCTCTCAATTTATGTGGTGTAGTTTAACTGGCATGGTGTTATGAAAGAAGCAAGGACTTTTGGAACTTGCGGTATCTAAACATGCCATGAGACTTCGGTACCTATAAAAACATGTTACTAAGGGTAAAATGGGAAGTTCAAAGTTGAAATGTTCCAAATATAGGAAGTTTATTTTTAGAACCAACTGATAGGGATATATATAGTGACACATAAAATGAAACGAAGTGAGTAATACTGCATACAGTAACACAGAATGTGCATCAATGGAGGATCATGACCTAAATCGTCTCTAACATATTTGAAGCCTAAAAGAAATGTAAAGATCAACATGATAATTTACTTAGAATGATTCATGCCGTCTCAGTTTTTTTTTTACACAAATGCATATATTTTCTTTCATAGACAAGCAGATCAAAGTGACCAAAACGAAACTTGATTATTGCACTAGATGAAAAGAGAACTTACATATTGACATTGTAGTATAGATATGGAACGCAGTAAAGCGACATAGCCCAATGCCCTGTAACCAGGTAGAGGAAGCACAGAACTCCTTGCGTGATGAACTCAGGTAAAACAACTTTGTTTATACGAGATGCAGTTTCGTAAGGATTGATATAGTCAAACTCTAGATCAGTTAAGGAGATGAGCTGCAACGAATTTCAAAATATCAGACTTCATTTCATAAACAGAAAAACGTTTCATTGATTATAATAAACAGAAAAAACTAGACTTCGCAGTAGTTCTACTTAGGTTATAGCCGAATAGAGTTCCAAACAAAAACATCATTCAGAGCATCTGAAGATTACGAGAAAAGTCAGTTACAAACATGCAGATATCTTTTCCTTGAAACTAGACAGCAGAATATTCTTACATTCTAGTAAAGAAGCTCCCAAATACGTCACAGAAGTTTCTGCATATTATCCCCTACTGAAATTTAGGCACAACCATACGGTACTGTGCCACGGCCCACGAATAGTTAAAGAACATCAAACTCTTGTACATACCATAGCAGACAACTTAAGAATAACTGTAATTCCAAGACCTAGTTCTGTGGAGCATTGCAACAAGATACTCTTAAAACCTTCACACTGTTGAATCATAAGACTTATAACCTTCAGAAGCTCAAATTAGTTAACCAATTGACTAGGCCTCAATCCAGAAAATGTTTTCCAACTTTCCCATGTTCGGTTGATCAAAAAACAAGTTATACAAGTGACTTTCCACATTGACCGTGTCATCTCCACCATCTGACACACGTCATCTTCACCCCATCCCCAAACCCTACACCCCCACCACACCCACCCTCACTTACTAGGTGACGTCTTTGGTAGTAATTCATTGAAGTAAGCTAACCATAAATCCCCAATAATCATTGCTAGAAGGAAAAAAAAATATTTCTCTAAAACAACAGAAAAGAACTTATCTCTACTTCTTAATCAATAAACAAAATGACATTTTCCTATATTTAATGACAATTTGACTTTAAACTTTCCATTCCACATAGATACCTATAGCTAATATTAGATCACAAGTTCAAAGTATACATTTCATTCTTAATCTTCGCTCTCAATCAAACACCATAACATAAATTGGGATGGAGAGAGTATAATAAAGGATAAAAAGGGTACCACCTCCCACCAGCACAGATATGGAGTAACTTTATACACCCAAACTAGAACAAATAGGAAAACATCACCTAGTATTTTAGTTTATCTCTACTAAAAATTTAAATCTGAAACCTTATGGTTCTCAAC